GGAGAACAGAGGTAAAAGTGAGCGACAGTCATCTAGTTACTTGGAGCGAGTCACCTTACCATCAACAGAGAATTGTAGGTACTTCTGGAGAGTGATTCATCTTCTTCTAACGAGGACTTGAAAACAAACCAACTCATCCTATCCGTAAACGCTGGTTTCAAAGTCAACCCAACTGATCTGACATCTCCAAGCTCAGATCTTTCCCTTGGAGATATCCGGAGCAAGAGGAGACAAATCCCAACCCCAGAGGTGGTACTCGAGAAGTTCTATCACCAAAACTAATCTTGGTGTCCTGATGTCATGGGTTGGCAGAGGGTTTCTGATTTGTAGGAGGGGTTGCATTCATCCTGAGACCCCTCTTCAGCATTCTTCCCCAACTGCAAAGGTATCCATACTCCACTTGAACCTCTGTTGTAACTTCAAAACTTTTCTGTCATTTGCATTTTCTAGCGTCAGTTAAATGGGAGCATCAGACACATATTTGCTGCTAACCCAGACTTGCTCATTTGAGAGTAGAAATGAGCTTTTCCAAGTCGGTTTAAACACAGTCCTGGGCTTGGGAATGAATCACTCGCCTTCTCACAGAAAAACAAAATCTAAATACTGGTGCTTGCTGTGACCCGTGTGAGTTTGTGATCAGAAATAACACAGAACAAACGACTGAAGCAAACAGCAGAATATATATATATATTTATATGTATATATTCACACAGACTCATATATATAGAGGTCTATATATATGTACACACAGATCTCCCTATGTGTGCAGTATACATCCGTTTCTACATACACAGCTCCCTATGGAAAAAGGATTTTTCTGCAAACCACCATTTCCACCTCTGTGCATATTTATTTACCTACCTCTTTCTTGTAAATATTGATATATATTTATACACACACGCGCATCACTCCCTATGGAGGGGAAATTGCTTTCTCTTCCACCTTTCACTCCTCTTGTTCACTCCTCTTGATCTGTAAATAAACACATTCTATGTATTTTTCTCCGTGTCATGCGTGCACTTTTCACCACACATCTGCAGAAAGGAAGAGGTGGTGGCCTATGAGCCGGGAAGAAATCCAGACGCTATTCCGAGATGCATAAACACAGAGAAAAAAAACAATACCTTGACAGAAGCAGCGGGCAGCCCAGCAGGAAAAGCAGGAGAACAAGGTGGGCGTGGGGGAAAAAAAGGACAGACAACCTCTGGACAGACGGACAAGCGCATCCCGCTGCCCTCCCGATGCCCCCAGCTGACCCCACATACCTCGGAGCAGAGGCATAGGAAAGGGACATCCTCCTGTATCCCCCAACTTTTTGCATCGGGAGGGCGTTAGCAGGGGATAGGCGGGGGACGAGCCTGGTGGTCGAGGGATCCCAGCAGGAGGCAGCCCGAGGCGGTCGCTCCAAGCTCTGACGAAGGAGGCCAGCCCGGATCCTGGACGCCTCTGACATTTCAGCGACGCTCAGGCTCCTGCTCCTTCCCAGCCCTCGGTAGCCCCATTTGTCCCCTCTGTCACCTCCCCCCAACATCTCACCATTCCTTCCCCTCCCCCATAGCGTTTATCCTGGGCACCCACCGATCTCCTTCCCTCCTCCCCAGCCGCTCTGGCTCTGCTCTCCTCCTCCGTGCCAAAGCTCTTTTCCCTGCCCAGAGCCAAGATCACATTTCCAGCACCTCCCTCCACCTGTCTCCAAGCCCAAACCTTCTCCACAGCATCTCCGCAGCCCTTTAACCCTCTCCAGTGCCCCATCTCTCCTTCCAGAGGGCTCACAAAGGAGCGAGGCATTTCATGCCTCCTCCAAAGCCATCAGTGAATGGTTCATCTCCCAGCCCATATTTGGGACAGCACCAAGCACAGAAGGGCAGAAGTATCTCCTGCAAGTCATCTCCCACCTACCATGGATGGTTTATTTACGATAAGGAGTGGTTGGGACATCCCAAACAACAGGAAAAATGGGGAAAACAGCAAACTTCAAACCTGATAACACAGTTTCTTGCAGGACAAACTATTCAGGAGGTTGATCATCCTTTGAAGTTTTGCCCCATGTTAGGCAAGTCCAAGTACATTCAAGCTCTCCTGTCCATGCTTTCAGGAAGGACACGTGCAAGCAATCACTGGCCTGTGCTGGAGTTCCCCCCCCCGCTTACCCCAAAACTGGACCCAGCTACAAGACTGGATGGGACAGAGATTTGGGCTCAGTCCCAAGGCTGGAAGGGGTCTCCTCCAAACTCTTCATTCCAGAAACAGGTTGGGAGTTGAACCTGACTCCAGAAGACACCTGTATCCACACACGAAGAAGCCCTTACAGCCCACTACAGGTGTCCTGAATGGATCAAACTGTTCCTTTAGGTCTCATCTGAAGTCCACAGCATGAGCTTGGTACCTCCTGAAGGACCATTTATTGTCTACAGTAGAGGGATGACTCAACTTCTGTTGACTAGTACAGGAATTTTGGGTTAACACAAGTGAAATAAATACCTAGTATCTTAGATACACATGTCCTTTATCTCTCTTGGCTTTCAGCAGCTCCCTGATGCTCTCCTTTGACACCCTTGGTGCAAAGTCCCCAGCAAAGAAGTTCTCAGCCCTGCATGGCAGGAAGAAACAGGATGCAACCAGGGAAAGCACCTTGGCTTGCCCTTGGGGTTTTAGTAGGGGGATTATATTCAGGGCCACAAGCTGCTTCCAGATCACCAGGAATGCTGAGTCTGAAGAGCTGTTAATAGGAGCGTCCGTCTGGAGAAGGAAAACACGCACACGAGCCAAATTCAGCTGCCAGTTCTAAGCCTGCAGGTTTTATTGTTAGAGCTGAAACAAAATCAGGCCAGATGCCTAGGGGAGCCCTGCAGACAGAGTGGGTCCGGCCATCCTAATTTAGGGTAATAATCATTCAAGACTAAATTGAGCATCGATACGGCTGGGTCACACCAGTAGCCTTGACCCTGACCCTGCCGCAGGCTAGTCCGTGGAGTCCTCCTCCCACTCCTCGTTGCAGAAGTCCGTCTCGCAGAAGGAATACCTGCGTCTCGCAGCAGTAATACCTGGAAGTCAGGCGGGACTCCGCGTCGGATGCCCGTTCTCGGCCGCAGTTCATGGCGGAGGTGCAGCCTTGCTGGTAATACAGGGTCACCTTCCCTGCAGGGCAGAGAGGGGTCGTGGTTAGGAGAAAGCAGCACTAAGCGAATAAAAATCAGGGGTGGACTTTGAGGTTACCAGGTGAAGAACCAGCCCCTTCAGCAGTGCACACAAATGAAGTCACACCTTGCTTGTTTCAATTAAGAGGCAGGGCTAAATGAGGCGTGTACATGTGCAGACAGAGCTCTCATGGCTTCTTTGGGAGACAGAGTCTCTCCTTTGTCTGAAAGGGACTTTTTTTTAACCATATGTAGGGCAATCTCCATTGAGAGGAGAAATCTGGCTCCGTGCCCGTTCCCATGTCAGGTTCATAATTACATCCTCATTCATTCCGCAAACCAATTTGGATTTCCAAAGGCAAGGACAACCCTCCCCCAAACCAAACACACGGTTTTGACCCCACCTCCCCCCCACTACCTACCCAGGGAAGTTTTGATGATGGCACATTTCTCTCGCCGCCCACAAGTGGTTTCGTTCGCTCCCCGGAAACATCCGATGAAGGGGAGCTTGTACTTGCAGACTTTGCATTGAAGAACCTCAACTGCAGCAGACAGAGAAGAGGCAATGAACTCTGGGCTCCATTCTGCAGAGCTATGGAGATTTCTGCTTCAAAGAACTATGGAGATCTCTGCTTCTCACCCCTATGAGAAGGTGGGGTGACCCCAGCGACCATGTAGAGCCCACCAGGGAAGGGACCAAGTGTCACCTTCATTTACAGACCCAGTAACAAGAGCCCATATCCATAGGGGAGCTGCAGATGATGCCTATGGATGCTTAACCCTTCTTGGCAAAGCTCTGTAGACGCACGTGGCCTTAGGTGAACAAATCAAACCACAAACCCACGGAGAATAAATACGGATGTGGGCTCTGGGGTGGGGTTCATCCAGCTGAAATGGGGTTCATCCACAGCAAAACCATCGCCACAGCTCTCTGGGGCAGAGCAGGTACCCACCTAGCCCTGGATCCAGCAAGCTACAGCCGAAGCTCCCAGCCCAGAGGAGCTCTTTATGGGATTTGATTGCTCCCCGGGAATAGGGTGGAAAGTAATTTTCATTCAAGCAATGACGAAAACAGCTGCTGAGGTTTCTCTCCACAGAGCATGGACTCGTAGCAGAGGGTACCCAGCTCACACGGCAGCAGCAACTCTGCAGGCATCCAGAGCTTGGCGAGACACCTCCAACCACCATCAGAATCACAGAATCACAGAATGGTAGGGGTTGGAAGGGACCTCTGTGGGTCATCTAGTCCAACCCTCCTGCCGAAGCAGGGTCACCTACAGTAGGCTGTAGAGAACCTTGTCAGATATTCCCCCGCCCTTCACAAATCCCATTTAACTGTGACCCCCACACACACTTACCGAGGCCGATGCACAGGACGAGGGTCAGACCCACGAAGAGCAACTTCATCTTGGGAAAGGGGACTGATCCTGACCTCCCAGCTGCACCTCAGCCCGGTACAGGGTTACCTACAAATGAGGGTGGCTCAGGCAGTTTATTAATCCCTGTAACGAGCTTCCTCAGTCAGCCTTCTAGCAGGGGGAAAGCCAATCAAAAACTGCGCAGTACAGATGTTTGCGATGTTCTTTTTGGGGTAAAATGAGGACGCAAACAAAGCACCTTATCAGGCAATCCTCCAACAACTTAAAAAGCTGAAATTCAGGCAATTCTGCCTTTCCGCTCTGTTAAATTGAATAGCTGTGCTTTCAAGGCAGAAAACACCCAAGCGAGTAAAATGATCTTGTGAGCAAAAACCCCACATTCCTTTACTTCAGGAAGCTTCCAACTCTTGCTTAGATTTAGCACCGGCAATTATCTGTACCCAGAAGCTGCAGGTTTGGGTGAACAGGGGAAAAAATATTCAAGCGCCCAACGTGGGGCTAGAACCCACAACCCTGAGATTAAGAGTCTCATGCTCTACTGACTAAACTAGCTGGGCTTTCAAAAGTGTTCATTTACACTGTTTTTCCCACCAAAAGTATAGATTTGATGTTGAGTTAGCAAAACACCCAATTCTTGAGTATAAAAATATGTATATTCAATACATATTATAAATATTAATATAAATATTAATATATTCTGTTTATTTAAAAAATGAGTGGAAGCTTTTTTCCTGGAGGGTTTGAGAGGGTGAGTTGGGATGGTGCCAGCAGGCACAAAACACAGAAGGAAGACACAGAAAAGTCCCAAAGCAAAACCCCAAGACAGGGTTCCTTACCAGATGCCGCTTCCCCCTCCGAGATGGGAGCACCCACCGGCCACGCGTCCCTGCGGCCTTTATCCTTCTCCTGCTCTTGGGCTGACCCAGGACCTGAACGACCTCAGAGCTACCAGGGGATATTGTTTGGTGGAAACAATGCTTCTGCTGGCACCTGGGCAAACACAGCTCCTCACCAAGCCCGGGCAGACCTCTCGGGACGTGGAGTCACTCATTACACGGACAAGCCCACAGGTTCTCAGGCCCTTCAAGCTCCCTTTGCGCAGAAAAACATCCCCAGCTGCCAACTTTGAAGTCAGCCCAGGGTTAACTCTGCGGGAAAGACCCAAAGAGGCAGATTTTATAGACCTACGAGTTAGCCCGTAGCCCTTCTCTGCTTGTGAAGGCAGCACCTTCACAAGTCCCCTTTTGAGAACAGCTAATATGAGGTCTCCTCCACAAACAGCACCCAAGAAGAGGGGTAAAAGGACGCTCCTCATCCCATTTGGGGGTCTGTCAAAAAGCAGACCCTCCCTCCTCCCTTCTCTATCCCCCTCCCTGTTCAGCACCATGTTTAATTACATGGATTTATCCCACTGGACAGAGCTTTTCATGCGGCAGAGACTAAAAAAACAAGGGCTGGGAAATGTTTGCCTGATCCTGGAGCCCGTGTCTCCCAAGCTTGCACGCAGGACTTTGCATAAAAGAGTCTCAGCACTTCCTATTCTCTCCCCTCCTTGCCTGTATTTTTCCTGCTTTGATTTTCTTATCCAGCCTTTCTCTCAACAGATCTACTCCATGTGTGGGACCTGGAACAGCCAGCATGTGCTCTTCCCACACCCCTTCAAGCCTGCAGACCCGGGTTGTTTGCTTCCTTTGAAGCCCAGATGGATAGTAGAGCTGCATGGACCACTCCAGTTGGAGCAAATGAGCTTGTGGCAGGGCCTCGGTGGGACATGGGTGGCTGAAAGCCCTTTGATAGCCCCTGTGGGTGGACACTTGCTTAACGCAATGAGAAGTGCTCCAAGAACCAACACAACTCGCGGACCACACATGCTGGAGAAATAATGGCTCGTGACAGAGCATGGAGGCTGGAGTCCACAGCCAGATCTCTTTTCTGAAGGGTTTAAGCTCCATGGTTATGCCTTAAGCAACATGTTTAATTAGGACATTATTCAAAGAAGCATGCTAACGTGCTTCAAGCTATTTCTAAGTGTTTTAGCTTCGCTGGTACCAGCCCAATACGATGCTCACGCAGCTGTTCTGCCGACAGCACAAATACAGATGACACCCGCATTTTCTCAACCATGAAGCCAAGCTCAGCTCCTCCAGGCAGCCAGAGCCCAGCAAGAGAATGAAGTTCCCAGAGGGCTGGGTCCTGGCACGAGTTCACTGCACATCCTGGTCCAGACAACTCCGGAGAGTCACGCAGCGTAATAATTTCCCAGCCCAAAGCTTGGTTTGTTTTCATCTCTGCTGTGCAGCACTGTCCTCCCTGCTCCTACATGTGGAGCATCCTCTGTCGAGTAAAAGGCTTTGGTCTAAACCAAACGGGATGCTCTCAATCTGTGGCATTAAATATAAGAAAATAGGGTATTAAATATCTTTTTTTTCTGTGTTTAGAAAACTGAAGAATGTGGATTCCCTGGGATTTATCAGGCACTGTGCAAACATGTTGGTACAGTGGGTAACACCCTGCTGCTCACCTGGGCTTGGATTTGCTCCTATTTATGATCCAGTTCCAGTCTGGAGAGGTTTTCACATCTCAGACTGCAGAAAGGAATAATAAACAGCGTAACGTCAGGGCTTGAGATGAGAGCAAGCAGGAATCACTCTGCAATACTAGTGGTTGAAGGAGAATTTAAAATAGAGACAAATGATGAAAAGGATGGGGAAGAAGGTGGAAAAAGGGGCATCTTCCCTCCTTTCAGAGAATCACAGAATCACAGAATGGTGGGGGTTGGTAGGGACCTCTGTGGGTCACCCAGTCCAACCCCCTGCCGAAGCAGGGTCACCCAGAGCACGCGGCACAAGACCGTGTACAAC